CCCCCCCCGCCTCGAAGCAGCAGCAGCAGCTTCCTGGAGCGGCGGGACCGGCTTTGTCGCCTCTCGGGGGGCCGCCCCTCTCAATGCCTGCCTGTGTGTGTGTGTGGTGTGTGTCTCTTGCAGCAACTGGAGCTCATCACCCCGTTCCAGCTGTACTTCAACCCGGACCTCATTTTCCGAAAGTTCCAGGTGCGTCCGCCCCCTCCGTGGGCGAGATTCCGGGGCTGCCTGTCTTGGCGTAAGGTGGAAATGACTTCGAAACTATTTTTTTAGGAATGTTTCACTCCTAAGCGGGGGTGGGGGTGGGATGATGAACAGGCTGTAGCAGAAGCAGGGCTGGGGCTGGGAGGGCCGCGGGGCAGGCTCTGAACACCCCCCTCCCCTTTTTCCCCTTGATCTTCTCTTGCAGCTCTGGAGGCTGGTGACCAACTTCCTGTTCTTTGGCCCCCTGGGATTCAGCTTCTTCTTCAACATGATCTTCCTGTATCCTTCCTGTGTTTGGCTGTTTCTTTTGCTGGCCATGCTTCTTGGTCCCCTCAGGGCAGCTGCCTTGTCTCAGATCAACAGGGTTTCTCATTTTTCCTCTGCTACCCAAGCAATTTCTGCAGGCCTGCGCTGATTGTAAGAGGCAGCAGTTAAAATAAAGAGAACTACTTTGCAGCAGAAGGCATGGCAGCTGGCCTTAAACTGTAGGGCAGAATCTGTAAGGAATAAGGAAAAATCCCATCACTGGCTTCCTCTTTGATTGGAGCTGCCTAGAAGTGTTTTCCATATCCTACCCCCCCCCATCCCGAAACTGGCCACAGTTTCATCAAATGCTGCAGCTGTCGCTGGAGCGCTCAAGTTTTGCGTCTGTGTGAAGTAGCTTTTTGTTTCAGTTTTCTTCAAACTCTGGTGAGATCAAGGATGAAATACTGGAGCTGAAAAGTCCAGACTAAAGTCTATGCAAAGCAGACCAATAATTCGGTCTCCTTGAAGTAGTAAGAGATCGAGAAAATCCCTCTAGCTATGGCCTTGGTAGAACAAATTATTTGCCTCTTCCTCTCCTCTTTCCAGCTCCTGAAGTCAACCTCTCAGGGGGAGGCCCAGGAAGCTTTAAGCTGGGGGTGCCTCCGCCTCCCCCTCGGGCGCTCTCTTTTAAGGCTTCTGTGTGTTCTTTACCAGGAGAGGTGGGAGCTCTTTCAGAGAACAGGCTGTGCCCTTCTTCTGGACTTCAGCCTTCAGCCCATTCAGGGGGGAAAGGCCAGCTTTTCGAGCGGCCTCCCAATGAGCAGTGGTGGGTGATGGCGACCTGTCCTCAAGGCTGAAGGTTCGAGGCTCTCCTCTCCCCTGCAGCCATTCGGTCAAAGGGAGGTTTTCTTTTCCCTCTCCTTTCAGGGGTGCCAGCCCGTCCAGTTCTCACACCTGTTAGCTTCCTCTACTGCCTCTTCACAGGTACCGCTACTGCCGGATGCTTGAGGAAGGTTCTTTCCGAGGAAGGACGGCTGACTTCATCTTCATGTTCCTGTTTGGAGGGTTTCTCATGACTGTATCCTTTCCCAGTGGCTGGTCCCTTTCTGGGAAGGGTGGGCGGCCGGACCGGCTTCTGTGCTTCAACCAGAGCTTTGTTTTGGCAGAAATGGCAGGGAAGGGCTTGCCTCCGCCCTGACAGGAGGGCTGCTGGCCGAAAGGACTCCCTGTCTGAGCAGGCAGTGGGGCAGGCATAGCCTAGACCAGTGATAGCTAACTTTTATGAGCCCGACTGCCCAGACGGGAAAAAACAAACCAACCCAGCGGGCGGCAGCAGCAGAAGGGAGAATCCCGGGCACGGAGGTGCCTCCAGACCCCACTCCGGATCCGCCTCTAGTCGTGCCCAACCCCCGCCAGCACCCGCTGCTCCGGATCCTCGCCCGCCGCCTGTTGGGGCGCTAGCACCGTGGCTGCAGCCGCCTCCTCAGGTTTGGCTGCCAGGGGTAGCGATCGGGCGACTTACGGCTGCCAGCGGTAGCACCACGCGTGCCATAGATTCTGTCCTCGCTGGCCTCGGCCAAGCCACAGAGCCAAGGCGGCTCCCCCTGCTGGATTCCAAAGGCCGGCCAGGCCCTTGTGGCGCCCCCTTGACTCGGGTGTCATGCAGCTCTTTGGCCTCTTTGCCAGCCTCTTCTTCCTGGGTCAGGCCTTCACCATCATGCTCGTCTACGTGTGGAGCCGGAGGAACCCCTACGTCCGTATGAACTTCTTTGGGCTGCTGAATTTCCAGGCCCCTTTCCTGCCCTGGGTCCTGATGGGGTTTTCACTTCTTTTGGGCAACTCCATCATCATTGACCTGCTAGGTAAGGGAGGGAGCCGGGGAAGGCAGCTGGGACGGAGGCTGGGGAGAGGGAAAGGGCACCTGCCCAGTTGCTTCTTCCTTTGCTGCCCGATTCCCAGGAGGGCTTTCCTAGGCTGGGGGACCAGGGTGGAGCCCTGAGGAGCCAGGCTCCCGAGGACGGGGCAGGACCGCTTCTGCGTAGAAGGGCGGCTCTGATGCAGGCAATCGCTGCGTTTCTGAGCCTGACTTTTGTGGGAAACCGTCCAGATGCCCATCTCTGCAAACACAGGCGGAGAAGATCCAGTTGCAGTCCTGGGGACTTTTGTTGTTAAATGCCTGAAGAGCGGCTCCGTTCAGGAGGCAAACTGGCCATGGAGCACCTGTTCCAGGCCAGTCCATTGGCCCCCACAGATCCAGGGGACTCTTTGGCTGCAATTCAAGCAAGTGGAGACGGACCCACAGCAGTAGTTGCTGGGGGGCTGCCAGGGAGGAGGTGTGGTGTTGTGGCATTATGCCTGGGGTTGATCCCTCCTCCCCACACACACCCCTTTCGGGGATATGGCCATGTGGCTGAGGCAGAAGCTGCTGTCCACCAGGGAACTGAGGACCAAGACTGGGTGGGCAGGAAAGCTTCAGGTGTAACGGAACAACCCCTGAACCCAGGGAGGAACAGGAGCAGACATCCTCACTGTTGCTGGTTTTTCTTGGGGGGCGGGCAGGGGGGTTCTTCTGAGCCTCACTGTCCTGGCTCACTAATGGTAGGAGGGTTGAATCAGCTGGAGGTGGGAGGAGGGATGCCAAGGAGGGGAGTGGGAAAGATCCTGTTAAACATGAGCTAAACTGAAAGCAAGTGGGGGCTGGAACACTATTCTCAAAGGCAGAGACTGTAAACCTTTTAGAAGTGTTACGCCATCTGCCACTCTAGCAGTTCCAGGGAACTGAAAACTTCTTATTTAACTCAGGCTTTTCCTCTTTTTCTTTTGCTGTTCTATCACCAAATGTTCTGGTGGCAGCTCCCGGGATCAGCAGCATGCTGGGGGGTGGGAGGGCTGGTTGGAGCCCTGGTGGCTGGAAGCCAGGCTGGGCCTCCAACTGCACCGGCAAGCCTGGTTTGGACACTGGTTAGCCCTGGAGCCTTACGGCTTGCTTTCTTCTTCTCCAGGAATCGCTGTGGGCCATGTGTACTACTTCCTGGAGGACGTCTTCCCCAACCAGCCTGGAGGGAAAAAATTGCTCCTAACTCCAGGATTCCTGTAAGTCCTCTATGCCTGTCTCTCCACAGCAGCAGAATGCAGACGCCCTCAGCTAAAGGGGATGAACATGCACAGCGACCCGTCTGCAAGGGACTGGCAAACCTGGACAAGGCCATCAGGCCCCTGACAAGCCCCTGGGGAAGCCAGAGAAGGAACACCTGAGGAGGATAGTTGGTGATGGTGGTGAGAGGGAGAAAAGGAATATTGTGGCCATAGGTCCTGCTTTTTCACTCGAGGCCTCTTGAGTAGAGCACGGCGCTTATAGCCAGAGGCAGAAAATGCCCCAGGTGGAACAAGACCACCAGCTTCAGGAGAGAAGGCTGGCTTTTCCCCCAGGGCAGTTAGTCCAGGAGAGGGGGAGGAAGGAGTCCCAGCAGGGCTGACCCCAAATGAGCTCTGCCATCCCTGTATGTGGTGCAGGGGGCAGGAAAGAGAAGGGGCTGTAACTAATTCATATGCCCAATTCTGAGAAATGCATCATGCGCACCAGCTCGGCACCACCGCTTAAGATGCAGGAGGAATTCTGCACTGAGTGCTCCTTCTTGAAGGGTGAGGCCTGCCCTGTGGGCTAGCAAGGGCTGTGACAGTTGGCAGTGCCTAGCTTACGCACAAGGAAGGAAGCAAGTCTCATCAAAGATTGGTCACTGGCGAAAGCCCATCTTTTTAGTGGTGCTTTTTCAGGAAGGAGGAGGGCGGAGTGAGGATATCTTTCTGTGCTGCATTAAGCTTGCTGAGCTCTGCCTTTCTTTGGCAGGAAGCTTGTCTTTGACCCTCCTGAGGAGGATCCCAACTACCAACCGCTGCCTGAGGACGACCTGACAGCTGCCGGCAACCAGAACCAGCCCCAGGAGCCCCGGTAACCCTTTGCTTGCCGGCCGGCCGGCCGGAGGCATGTTCTGGAACATGGCACAGATGCTCCTCCCAGGAGCCCCCGGACTACAATTCTTCAGCCTCCTCCATCCCTCTTGCTGGCAGTGCTGTCGGCTGGCAGAGCAGAGGGAAGGCACCCTCTCTTCCCACGGCTGATGCAGAAGAAAACTGGGAGACGCCTCCTCCCCTTTCCCTCCTCCGGCCAGACTGCTGGCAGAACATGGCTGCAGACTCTGAGCATCCCGGAAGGGAGAGAAAGACTTGTACACCATCAGTGTTACTTTTAAGCAGTCTGTGGGTGGTGGAGAAAATAAAACTGGAAACGGTGCCACCAGGCTGAACGTGGGCACAACCCAGCCGAGAAGGACTGGGGGCCACCATTTGTTTTGCCAGGTGCCTGAGCTCAGATGGGCCAATTTTATATACCCAGCGATGGGCTGGCAAGGCGTTGCTCATGTCCTTGTCCTAGGTATGGATCACCTCTCTGCCTCATCCCTTGCACCAGAATTTGCCTGTTGGTTTCAAGTTGTGTAAATATATATATATTTACTGTATATATATATTAAAATGGGAAACCACACAGAATAGGCATTTTGCAGCCCCTGCCTATGAAACACTTGGTTCTCATTTCATGCAATTTTTGGTAGGTGAAAAATGACCTGAATTAACTCCCACTGCAGGCCAGACAACAGGAAGGTCTACAAACACACCCTGTAAACTGGAAATCTGCCCTAGAAGAGGCCCTATTGCTTCAGCTTCCCTAGAGTGTTTGGGGTGGGGGGTAGTCCACAGCAGGGAAAATGGCAAGAGGCTCTATGTTGCTCCTGAAAAGATGAAAGAGGCTTGTCAGGCAGCCTACCTGGGCCCACAAGAAGAACTTTCCTGCTCAAAAAGAAAACTCCCAGCTAGCACCAGGGCAGGAACAGGAAGCTTGGGCAGAGCTAGGCCTAGCAAAAAGCCTAGTAAGGCCTTTCTCCCAGTGTCATTACATTAGGTATTTGTAGGCTGGCTAGAACTTTCAGAAGGAACTGTAGTCCAGAAAATTGGAAAATCCCTCCCCTATTGGCTCATTCATTTGGCGGGTTCACTGACAATGAAGGCAAGGAAAGGGTTCTAACAAAGCATGCCAAAAACACAAGACGGAAAACAAAATATTACTCATTTATTTAAAAAGTTGTCTGGGTTGAGGTGGGGTGGGAAAAGAGAAGGGCTTAGATGCCACAGGTATTTGCTGGACCCCCTAATTCCAACAGATAGCTGTGAAGTGGAGGACGTAGGTGCCACCCACCCCCTCGGGGATCTGCTGGGCCAGGCAAGGCAAGCTCTGCTCCCCCTCCAAGGTGGACAAAAAAAAAAACAGGACAAATGCCTGCCCTCCCCTCCCCTTATTCAGTCCTTCAAGAAGACCATCTGGAGGTGGGACACCTTTGCCACTTCAGGAGAGCTACCAGGCTGGAGCTGTGTTGGCCAAACGCCTCATGCGCCTGCAAGGAAAAGAAGAGATGGGTGTGAGCACTCGTGCATAAGTGGCGAGTTCCTCTTGTAAGGGCAGTGGTGGGAAAAGAGGGCATGATGCTCAGATAGGGGCACGCTTGTCATGTCTAGGTTGAGTGCTCAACACATGAAAGCCACCGGCTAAGGCCTGTAACAAAACTCTTGTAAGGACAACTCAACAAGGAAAAGTTGAATTTGCCTCCATAGGATGTTAGGGTGATCAAAAAGGAAAACTCCGATCACCTCATGGTGATCTTACTCATTGTGCAAATCAACAAATTCATTTTAAAAGATGCAGGGCTTTCATGTGTGCTTCCCAAGGTTTATAAATGGAGTCGCACCTCGTGTTTCTGTCTTGGTCCCGGATTTTCTTCTCCATCTCTGCGTCTGTCAGTGTTTCGAGCAGAGGGCACCACTGGTCAGCATCACCAGTATTACGAATAGCAATCTCCACTGTCGGCAGTGGGTTTTCACTAGAAAACCAAGGAATTGCAGCTGTTCAGAATCTGGAACCTCATTTTCATTTTAGCCCAAACCCCATGCGGGCAATCCCCTTCCCACATCAAGCAGAAGCAGGGCAGACGCAACGCTTTGCCCTCCACTGGCAACGGAGTAGAGCTCCACACTCATGGCATCTGGAGGCCACCCTGCCCCACAACGTTTGAGGGCCACGATCTGGCCCAAGTCCCCTCCCTTACCTGAACGCATACGTCTTCTGATGCCAGCTCAGTTGCCCCCGGATACTGTACGCAATGGTGGTGACAAACTCGCCACCCAGCCCCAGCTCTGAGCACAGCTTCAGGGCAAACTTCTCTGGGGAGTTCTCCTTCTCGGACATGTCCCACTCAAACTGGTCCACCAGGGAGATGTTCCCTACGTGGATATTGAGCTAGACAAAGAGAAACATCATTGATTTATTCATTATTTATTTAAAATATTTTTATCCTGTCTTTCTCCCTAAAAAGGACCCAAGGTGTCTTAGATCTTCAAAAGGCAAAATTTAAAGCTAGAAACAATAAGTATACAACTAATAAAAAGGATCAAATAAATGGTAAACAAAAGTAATACTAAAAACACAATAAAGACAGTAACACGTAACAATCCACTAAAAAAAATCCATTAAGGCAGCCAGTCACTGAGGGAAAGTTTGCCTGAAGAGAGAGGTCTTTTCCTCCTTGCGGAAGGATATCAAAGATGGGGCCAGCCTGGCCTCCAGTGGAAGGGAATTCCACAGTCTGAGAGCAGCCATGGAGAACTGGCTCTCCTCTCCCATGGTTGATGGTACTAAAAGCCACTGAGGACAGATGAATTCTCTGCTCTCTGGATTTCCCTAAACATGGACAAAGTCCAGACAACTCCCACCCTCGAGCATGAAGATCACACAGAAAAAGGCTTCCAAGCACTCCGAAGTTCAACAAAAAATGAATGTGCAAAGCCTCCATTTCCTCTGGGAACCTAACATCCCATCTGATGTTCACCAAAGACTAGTTTTTAGGTTGCACATATGGTAAATCTCACCCAGGCAGCATATTTGTCTCGACTCTCTTTGTTAGGCACCCTCGAGGATTTAAAGTAGCAAAGCAAAAAGTCATCCTTTGGCTCACACATAGCATGCTGATGAATGAAGGAATTTTACAAAGGGCATAGCCCTAAAACCCCAGCTTCTGTCTTCCCAGACACCAGTCCTTCCCATCTGTGCCCTTGTCCAGCCCACCCTCTACTTCAAAGGTGCACAGCAGGGCCACTCCCAGCCCGAAGTCCAAGGCTGAAAAATAGGGTGCCTCACATGGGGGCCAGTGGAGAATTAGCTGGCACCAGATGTTGCAGCAGGAACCAAACCAACACATTGGAAAGGTACCTCTAACAGGGACGCTGTAACCTGGTGGCACAACCAGCACTCTGCACTTCATGGGGGACAAAAAGGACTGCCTCCCAGCCCGGAGAGGCCCCTGCAGAACCTTCACTCTGCCTCTCCCTCTCTTTACCTTAATGATGACACGCTGATCAGACTGGTCCTCCAAGATGCTGTCAGTTGGGTAGGATTCAATCTGCTGTCGTATGGCTGACGCAATGGCAGGCACAAACGTGAGAGGGTTCAAGTCCAGGTCATCACAGAGAATCTCCGAAAACATTTCGGGAGTCATTAGTTTCTCTAGCAGAGACAAAGAAAGGTGGGGTGGGGAATCAGTTCATGAGCTAAAAGCCTGTATCCACAGCAGTTCCATGTCAATCCTAAACTGCCACATCCTGCAGGAATAAACCGGCACCAATGGGAAGTTTACCCATTTTCTCCTGCCAAAGCAAACTGCCTTTATTTTAAAGCACACTCCCTAGAATTCCACACATTTGACTTTTAAACATGCTGGAAAATGCAGTTCTGTTATTCTGGTATATTTTCTGGCACAATGGTACAATCACATTGTGAGAACTGCAGAGAAAAACATTTGCTTGGTTCCACAAGCCTTGGAGGATTCTGCAATCATTGAGTAGGCAAAGAATGTTTTATTGATGCTATTGTTTGAACATCACAATAACTCAGAACCATTTTGCCATCATTTTTAAAAGTTAAAATTATGATAGCTCTTTGTTTACATCAGAAAATTTCAAACAGATCCTGCATGTAAAACAAAATGCACATGATCAGATTAACAGCCTTCCCTGATGGAAGAAGCATCAATCCATACTGTATGAAATACCGAGATAAGGGAAGTACTTAAAGCCCAAAATATAACCCAGCACTAATATGGAGGCCCTTCTTAAGCAAAGGCAGCCGTCAAGAGACATGGACCCACGGCAGGAGAACTATCGATCGCACAACAGGGGCCACTTTCTCCATGTTCTTCTAAGGTAGCAGGCAAGAGGATTAGGGTTAAGGCCCTGGCCCCTAACCCTCTGCCACCATGTAAATCTGATTAACATTCCATTAAGCAGCTGACATAAAACCCACATGTTACTTTCTACTTTGGGGTAACAAACTCAACTTCTGATGCCATGTTTTTGAGGCCAAGAGGAATAACTGAAATCGAAAGCAATTAGGAGACGTCACATTTGATAGCAAAACATCATCTGTCGTGGTCAATGGGATCAGAGTCTCTACATCTCACCCTTCACACACCATTCATATTCCAGGTAAAAGCGTCTCTCAGTTTCTGCCCGTCGATTTCCATGTCCAATCGGATTGGTACCAGCACCTCTGGCTGAGAGGCATTCTCATGGATCACAGCTGGGTCATGGTCATCAAAGCTGAAATGCAGCAAAGGGCCACAAATCAGCCTCTTAGCACAAGGGGTATGTGTGGAGAAGCCGGGTTCCCTCCAAGTCGAGTTCAGACCCAGAGTTTGGTCAACCAAGAACTGCCAGCCTGTGCCTGGAATGTGTGAACGCAGAGGTTAAAGAAAAGTTCTGAGCATGCTCAGAGTGCCTCTCACCCTGAGGAGGAAAGGAGTGCCCCAGGCAGAAAGCAGACTCCTAGACAGGCTGGTAGCCCAAAGCCCCTTTCAAAGTACGTTGGGAAGGATTAAGAGAGTCGGCCCATCAACAGCAACTCCCAAATTGTAGCAAGGTGCCTGCCACAGCCAGGAGATTCCAACCACTTTGTGAAGAAACTATGAATTGTCCTTGTCTCGCAGGCAATGAACCAATACAGGAGACTCAGATCTGTGCTGAGCCCCCTCAGGGCGCACACAATAGTACCTAATGTGTACTCTCACCGATCTGTTTCTTAATTTATTTATTTAAAATATTTTTACCCTGCCTTTCACGTTAAAAAGATCTCAAGGTAGCTTATGCTGTTCTTGTTACGAGTCACAGAGCCACCTACCAAAGGGGGAAGGTCCTCTTTTTGTCCCGGCCCATCCGGTTTCGGTTGATGGTAGTTGAGCACGGCACAGCATCCAGGTGATGGGAGCTATTCGGGAGGGTTGGGACCCATTGGCTGTTCCTTTTCGCCTTCTGCTCTCTAAAAACAAAAGCCAGGTGCTCGTGGGTGGGAAGCCACAGGAAGACTCGTGAATTTTCAAAGTATTGTATTTCTCAGCCGTGCCTCTGCAATGAGACCGTCCATGTGGTGCAACAGATACCGAGTGATGCTCAACTCTAGGACTCCTCGGCGGGGGCGGGGGAGGGAGAGTTCTAGTCCATGGATTCCAACAACTTTGTGAAGAGGCAACAACTGTCCCCAGATTCATGGAAACCTGTTAAGGGGCAGCCATGGCAAACCACGCCTTAAAAACCCTACTAAGCTTCCCTGCAGTGGACTTTTATGTCAAAGGCCTCCCCAAAGAACACAGAGATATTTTTCCACATAACCCAACTCTTCCAGGGAGAAGCAAAGGGACCCTCCTCTTACCTGAGGTAAGTGGGGGGCTCTGTGCTGATGGAGACGGCTTTGTACTTTTCGTCATTCCCATCCAAGATCTCTTCGACTTCTGAAGCTTTCAGCAGAGTCACGCTGGTTGCTAGTGTGGTGTAACCGTGATCTAGAACGAGAACGTGGGACAGGGCAGCACTATGCATCATGGATCACCATGATGATCACAATCATCATTTTTATCATGACTGAAGGAGCAATACAGGAGGTACCCACATGGCAGTCATTTCCACAGGCAGGGCAACGGAAGGGCGCGAGGCACTCACTTGCTTTAGTGAGCACAGCGTTCCACAGAGCAAGGCTAGCCTCCCTAATTCACTTCCCCAAGTCTGAGGCGTGATTAGCAAGTCGCTGTCACAAAACAAAGCCACAGAAGGAATTCTGGTATTTGGCTTTCTACTGCCAACACCCTGTTAGTGTCTGCTGCTTGGGCAGCATAGAAACGTCACAAAAAGATCAAGATTACTCTGACAAGAAAACAGGGAGAGGGGGATGAGGACTCGGGAGTGGCACCTTCACATTTCTCTAACTTTTGACATTTCTCCTCCCCACAACCCTTCAGTGATTTTACATCTTTAGCTACATGGCTCTTGGAAGAAGAATGCCACAAAACACAGGGATGTGTCTGTACGGAATCGCAAAGGAGGCTGCATGCCGGGAGGGGGGCCTCTCCCCAGCACGACTGGGTGCTGGCTCCACAGGTATGCGTGCTGCCGAGGACCACATGGTAAGCGCTGGCTGGGCAGGGGTGTGAGTGCACACGCCAGGGCATCCATGCCTGCTGTGCTGGCTTTTCCTCCTTGCTCCAGGGCCCCAAACCCAGATGCAAAACGCCCAGGGAGGAGGAAGGGGGAGGCTGGGAGGCACTAGCTCCAGGTGCACAGGTCGGGCCAGTGTGGCCTCCTTCTCTCGCTCCTCTGCCCCGTCTCTTTGGGAGAGTGTGCACCCGGGCAACCCAAAGGCACAGAAGCTGGAGATCCGAAGGGCCTGATCCAGGTGGGAGCAGCTGCGAAAGCCAGGCCACGCGAAAGCAGGGGAGAGCTGGACTTACATCTCCGGGGACTGTGGCTCCGCTGGGACTCTGCGAGGGTGAGAGGAGAAGGAGATGATGATGATGATGATGGCGAGGAGGAGGGTCCGAGGGCTGGAAAGGGGAACCGGGGCCCTTCTGCCACCAGCCCGCCCTGCCTCCTCTTCCAGGCCGCCCAGGGAGGAACAGCAGCGAGGGGGGGGGGCTGCAGCAGCCCGGGGGGGGCAGCCGGGCTTCCCTCCCTCCCTCGGCCTGCTTCCTTCGCCAGGGGCGGCTCACCCACCGTGGGAGGAGGCGACGATCTTCTTGCGCTCCTCGACGGTGGCCAGGCGCCGCCAGAGCGAAGGGTAGCGCTTGTAGAGGGAGCCGCGGAACATCCGCAGGTAGTTGCCCACCTGAGAGAGAGAGAGAGAGAGGAGGAGGAAGAAGAAGAAGAAGAAGAAGAAGAAGAAGAAGAAGAAGAAGAAGAAGAAGAAGAAGAAGAAGAAGAAGAAGAAGAAGGTGGTGATGTGAACTGGAAGGGATCTGGATCCGTGTAAGGAGTGGATTCAGGTCTCACTGATTTGGAGCTCAGCCTTGATCTGTTTCAGGTTGGAATTTGAGCTGGAGAAGAAGAGCTGGAGGTTGTGATGTTTATGTCATTTTTGAGACAAGATTTACAAGCCTCTGATACTTCCTTTTTCCATTTCTGGAAGGTTGAGTCTCAGCAATATCTCTGTACCGCCATCATCATCATGACGGCCGGGAGAGAACGGAAGAGAAAGCCGGCCGAGACGAGGCGAGGGAGGGCCTGCCACACGAGCCAAGAGCGGCGGCCGCGGCCTACCCTGCGCCTCTAGTGCGCCTGCGCGGCGACGAAGGGGCGTCGCTTTCTGGGCGGGGCTGGAGGCCTCGCTGCTCCGCCCCCGTTTCTGGGCCGCGGCGGGAGGGCCGGAGAGCCTCGTGGCGGCCCCTAGTGGCGGGAGGACAATGTTGGCCCTTCCTCTGCTTCAGGGGACCCTCTGAAACGAATGGAAAAACTGGGGAGAAGCTGAGGGGGGTCGTAGCTGAAAAGGGTCGGGGGGGTCCCACTGAGGGGCCCGGAAATGGGGTTTGGCCCCACAGGGGCCCCTCTTTGCTTCTCTCTCTTTCTCTCACCTGAGGGGAGGGGAGTTCCTCTAGGGAAGAGTTTTTCTTTTGTGACAGGTGAACCGCTTCTTGCCTTTTTCCTTAGACGATGGAGGGTGAAGGGAATCCCTTTATAGCTTTTCCTGCAAGCTTTGCCTGGCGCTCGTTTCGGGGTTGAGGGTGGGATGTCGTCTGAGTTTTGGTTTTCAGGACGGTGAACTATTTCTTATATTTTTCTTTAGAAGGTGAGCCGTCACGGAAATCCCTTTAAGGAGTTTTCCTGCAGAGAGACTTTGGTCTCTCTTCCGATAGAGAAGAGAAATGGGCAGACTTTTTATCGCCATCTTTTGGGCGAGGGTTTAACGGTAGAATTTTGATTTTCAGGAGGCGAAGTGTTTTTGTATTTTTCTTTGGGGGGGGATGATGAAGGAAATCACTTTATGGGTTTTCCTTGCAAGGCAGTTTGGGCTTCTGATATAGCTCAAAGGGCAGACTTTGCATCCCCAACTTTGGGCATGGGTTTGATGGAGCAATTTTGATTTTCAGTCTGCTGAAACGTTTATTGAATTTTTTTCTAGAGGGTGAGGAACAAAAATGCTGCTCCCTCCTTACAGGAAGAGACACTCAGCTTCCAGGCTTCATCCATTCTGCTTTTTCCCCCTCAGCCTTTCTTCTTCCCTGTCGGCATGGTGTTTATTCATTTGTCTCTGCTTCGTAAGTGACAAACAGCCATCGTAAGGAAGGGTCACTTCTGCAAAAAGTGAAAACTGGGGAGTCACGTAACACACACATAAGGCCCAGATTTTCCTTTCCTTTCTTTCCTCCAACAGAACATGGAAAAGGCCACAGCCTTCATGCTTCTGGCTCCTCAGGAATAATTGTGTAATAATGAGTAGGAAGAGGAGGAGTCGAGACCTCTGGGTCCTTGAGCAGGGCTATTTTCCTCTTAGTGCTTGGCAGACCCCTGGGTTTCCCCCTGGATCCCACCCCTCAACACACCCTGCAGGGCCATGGTAGTCTCGCCCTTCGCCTACAGTCTCTGGAGCACAAGAACATTGTTCTCCACCGTCCTCTATTGGAAAACATTTTGGCAGTGTGCCACAGAAGACAGCTTGAATTTTTAAGAAGTTTGCCTGGTTCACAGGATCCTTTAAAGGCGTGGAATTCACTGAACCCACAGAAGAGGAGTACTGCCTGGGGCCAGGCCAAGACCTGCAAATTTACACTGTTCTGCATTTCTTGAAGTTTGTTTTCTATTTGTTAAAATTCTAATAAAGTGTGTTGTTTAAAGTATTTCTGTTCCTCTGTAGTTTTACATCAGAATTTGTGTGAATACTATTCCTGTTGATTGTACAAGGGTTGCCAAACACCTGAAACATCTTATCCCTCCTCCCACCTGCATTCTCTTTTCTGTGTATGCTTTTAAAAAACTTTTTAGACTTGATAAAGTCTTTGGTACAAACATTTTCTTGTCTTGTTTTAGCTGTGGGAACTGAGCAACGGTGAAGAAGGCTCGGGCTCAGACTTTTGGAAACTTTCTAATTAAACAGTGCAATTGTGAGCCCTTACAGAATGGAGAGTAGGCCAAAAAGCGATGTTCCTCTTTTAATCATCATCCTCATTTATCATTATATTTACTTAACATATTTTCAAGCAGTAATCTTAATTAAGCACAAAAAAGCTGTTATTTAAAGTACTGACACCTGGTTAAAGGGGGAAGTTACAGGCATCTAAAATCACAATTAAAAGTGGCTGATAAAGGAGAAATGTGGGAGTGGGTTTACCAATAAAGAAACAGGTTAAATAGGCAACCACCCAAAGTGATTTCAATACTAGTTGTGCTCTTGAAGATGGGGTGGGGGAAAACCAATGCATGGGATGGTTCCTCTTTCTGGGAACCTTGGGAAGCAAGGCGCCCCTCTGCCTCTTCCTTCCCCAACTCCTCTTCCTCCTCTTCGGTCCCTCTCAGGCAGGGTCCACTCCTGAACGCCTGGTGCTCTTCCTTCGCAGAGCTGGACTTTTTGTAACTTTCCAATTAAACTGTGTAATTGTCCCCTCTCTTACAGCGTGGACAGTAGGGCAAAAAGAGATG